TCCTCCCTCTCATGCTCTCTGTATCTCATTCTCTCTGTCTCAAATAAATAAATAAATAAATCTTAAAAAAAAATAAAAATAAAAACTATAACTATCCTAATTACACCTGTATTCAGATAATGTTCCACCATTGAACAAAGAGCAATTGAAAATGAGGGGGTTTTTTTCTATTTTCCTCTTTTTAAGGAAGAATGTCTTCTATAAAAAGAAGCCCAAAGCAAGAAATAATTTCCCAGCTTCACCTTTCAGCTGCAGAAGGAGATATTGCCAGGTTAACAGTAATCCTCAGTCATTCTCCATCTCTTCTCAATGAAACTTCTGAAAATGGATGGACTGCTTTAATGTATGCTGCAAGGAATGGGCACCCAGATGTTGTCCAACTTCTACTTGAGAAAGGGTAAACATTTTAGGCACTACTACTTGAAGGGCTCTGGTTTAATTTCTGGGTTACATATTTCCTTTTAAATTTTTCTTGTAGCCATATTTATATCATTGGGCTTGTAAATAACTCATTGACCAGTTTCATTATATAAAAACATAGCATAGTATCTAACTAAAAGCTTTTAACTTCTTTTATTGAGGGATAAATCCTTCATACTTAATAGCAAAGCAAATTTTATGAGTTAGTCTAATCTTTTTCTCCCAAATAGAAAATGTAGATCTACCCACTATAACTATCAAGAACCCCTCGTAAAATTTTAATTTCTTTTTATAACACATGAAACTTACTGTTTTTTATTTTATAATTCTCCAGAAATGTTAAATATCTACTGTCTCTAACTTTTCATCATTTATGAGTATTTCTTTTAACCTTCCCATTAGTAAGTTATGTACTAAAAAAATCTACATAATAATCATTAGAGGGGCTATCAAGTGCATCTGGAAATATTTTATTGTAATAAATATTAAAGAAAATGTTTATTTCCTATTTTATTTTTCTTTCCATCTATAGGTGTGACAGATCCATTGTCAATAAATCAAGGCAGACTGCACTGGATATTGCTAAATTTTGGGGTTATAAGCATATAACTAACTTACTAGCTAATGCTAAAGGTGGGATGAAGCCTTGGTTCCTAACTAATGAAGTGGAAGAATGTGAAAATTATTTTAGCAAAACACTATTAGACCGAAAAAGTGAAAAAAGAAATAATTCTGACTGGCTACTAGCTAAAGAAAGCCATCCAGCCACAGTTTATATCCTTTTCTCAGATTTAAATCCCCTAGTTACTCTAGGTGGCAATAAAGAAAGTTTCCAACAGCCAGAAGTCAGGCTTTGTCAGCTGAACTACACAGATATAAAAAATTATTTGGCTCAGCGTGAAAAGATCACCTTGGTTTTTCTTGGAGTAGAACTTGAAATGAAGAAAGAGTCTTTGAATTATACTGGAGAAGTCCCAAGAGAAGAAGAAGATGGGTTGGTTGCCTGGTTTGCTCTAGGTATAGATCCTGTTGCTGCCGAAGAATTTAAGCAAAGACATGAAAATTGTTATTTTCTTCATCCTCCAATGCCTGCTCTTCTGCAATTGAAAGAAAAAGAAGCTGGTAAGAAGTGAACATGGTTTACCTGTTGGTAATAATTACCTGTTGGTGGTAATCTGGTTTTTGGAACTGGGTTGGAGTTATACATCGTATCTTCATTTTCTAGGAGGCACACTTTTTTCAGTAAGCAATGAAATTAGGCTGTCTTCATTAGACCTTTCCTAAAGTTCTCATTCTAGGGGACTACTCTCCTGAGCAGTTACAGCAGTTTTAATCAGCCAAAATTAGTTTCCCCAGAGTTAATCCTAATGCATGCTTGTTTTATTTGATTCTTCAGTGAGTAATTACTGAGCACCTGCTATACACTGAGCATGATGTCAAAGACCTTGACTATTTTCTGTTGCAGGGTATGCTAGTTCATGTGAGGCCCTGTATGCCGTGGTTTTATTCTAAATTCCATTTAAATGTTGTAACCCAACCTATGGTTTAAAAAGAAACAAAAACCGTCACTCTGCCTGCTTTGTAGATCATGAATTCTAGGTAATTAAATATGAAATCAGAAGTCTTGTTAAGAGGGGATTTGAGATTACAGTAGCTAAGGTAAAAGGTTGCAGTGGATTGGGTTGATGGAGAAAAGGGGAGAGTTTGAGATGTTCTGGAGGTAAAACTGACAGGGCTTGATCAGTAGGTTGAGACTATTATAAGTGAGGGAGAGATGATAGTAACCTGGAGTACAGCCTGAATTAAGGTGACAATGGTAGAGATGGAGAAAAGGGTACGTTCAAGGTATATTTTTAGAAAATCATCAGCACTTGTTGATGGATTGGGTATGGGGTCTATAATGATGAAAGAAAAGATCAAGAATGATTGCTAGGTTTGAGACTTTAGTAATTTGGTGGATAGTGATACTATTTCTTGATAAAATAGGGTGACAGGTTGAGCAAGGGAAGCAGGACCTGAGCCAAAGGCAGTCACTTAAGCAACTGAGCCACCCAGGCGCCCCGCTGCATAGTGTATTTTTATAAACGTCACTATTGTAAAGTCAGTATTTGTAAAATCACTATACACTAGAATCTTGTGTATCCAAAATTTAAAAATCACCTGTAGTAAAAGCCTGAGCTAATATAGTATATAAGATAGGTGTGCTGACATCTATCTTATGTGAGAGTTATATTTGATTAGTTCAAATTAAAGTTAAATCAAATTTTCATGTCATCTTTGGATTAAATATTTTACTTCAAAAGAAATATACATCATAAAAATAGGAATACAAAAATTCTTGATTATGTTGCTATTCAGAAAATATAGTGTATGCCTTGACTTGCGAACATTTTACTTTGATATTAATTTGTTTACAGTTTATCGCAGAATTAAAACTTTTTATGCTTTTCTTAAAGGGGTTGTAGCTCAAGCAAGATCTGTTCTTGCCTGGCACAGTCGATATAAGTTCTGCCCAACCTGTGGAAGTGCGACTAAAATTGAAGAAGGTGGCTACAAAAGAGTATGCTTAAAAGAAGACTGTCCTAGCCTCCATGGTGTTCACAATACATCATATCCAAGAGTTGGTAAGCCTTTTCCTTTATAGTGAAATCTCAGCCATCTGGAATCTTAGGGAAAAAGACATTCTGGGAAGACAAGGTTTTGAGTTGTTGAGGGGTTTACCTTTTTATTAAAAGCATATTTAATATAACTTAAGACTAAGTATTAAAGTAGTATATGGTTTCATGACTTTTAAGTAAGGGACATTGTACATAATTAGCCTTTTTTTTTTTTAAGGTTTTATTTATTTGTCAGGGAGAGAGAGCACAAGCAGGGGGAGCTGCAGGCAGAGGGGAAGCAGACTCTCTGCTGAGCAGGGAGCCTGATGCGGGGCTCGATCCCAGTACCCTGGGATCATGAACTGAGCCAAAGGCAGATGCTTAACTGATTGAGCCACCCAGGCATCCCTAATTAGCCATTTCTTAACTCTGAGTTAATCAATATGAATTTGATGTGTTAAAATACATGATTTCAAAAGTCTACCATTCTGGGTCCACTTAGTGCAGAGACAAAAAAAAAAAAAAAAAGTACCCCAACAGTTCAGTGCCTGTTCAAGGCATCACCAAAGCAATACAGCCTGGAGCTAGCTTTACATCACTGCTATTGTCTGCCTATACCTTCTCTCCTTCTAATTGCTGCATTGGAGTCTTCTGTAGGTTTGGAAATCTGAGAACCTAATCCTTTAAAACTTGTGAAAAAATAATAGATAAACTGAGCAATACCTGAGGAAGTCTCCTGAGAGTAAAATGCATGGCTTTGTGATACCTGGTTTCACTGCTCAGGAGCCTTTTACATTTGATTCCTGTTTTCAGTCATGCTCTAGTAAGGAGAATTCACTGCATTAATGACTTCTGGGAAATAAACTTATTTAATTTAAATTTTATCTTTTTAATGGCTTAAACTTAGTCATAGAGCCACATTAGCTTTTAAAACTTTTGTTCAGGGGGCGCCTGGGTGACTCCGTTGGTTGAGCGACTGCCTTCAGCTCGGGTCATGATCCCAGGGTCCTGGGATCGAGCCCTGCATCGGGCTCCCTGATCAGTGCGAAGCCTGCTTCTCCCTCTCCCACTCCCCCTGCTTGTGTTCCTTCTCTCTCTGTCTCTCTCTCTCTGTCAATTAAATAAATAAATAAAATATTTAAAAAAATAAAAACTTTTGTTCAGGATTGGGTTGGAAGGGAGAGGAAAATTCACATTTACTATTGTAAAATTTGTATTTTCTTCATGCCATATAATACTCCGGGGGTGCCTGAGTGGCCCAGTCATTAAGCGTCTGCTCAGCAGGGAGCCTGCCTCTCCCTCTGCCTGCAGCTCCCCCTGCTTGTGCTCTCTCTCTTTAAAGCACTCTGTCAAATAAATAAAATCTTTAAAAAAATACTTTAACTTTTTTATAATTAAAATATATGCCTAGCATACCATAAGTATATAATAAGTGTTTCTTTTTTTTTTTTTTTAAAGATTTTATTTATTTATTTGAGAGAGAGAGAATGAGAGACAGAGAGCATGAGAGGGAGGAAGATCAGAGGGAGAAGCAGACTCCCTGCCGAGCAGGGAGCCCGATGCGGGACCCGTCCCGGGACTCCAGGATCATGACCTGAGCCGAAGGCAGTCGCTTAACCAACTGAGCCACCCAGGCACCCAAGTGTTTCTATTAAGAAGACGACAAAATTGGTCTTCCTTTAGTGTACAATACTCTATGCAATTTCCCTGAAATATTCTGTCATCAGGCAGAAAGAAACAATCTCATAATTAGACAAGAGTCTTGTTGTTATAGGAGATAAACCTTTTTATTATATTATTTGACAGTGACTTTACACAATGAGTCTAAATTATTTTTTCCTATCATTCATTCATCTGATTTTTTTAAAAACAGATCCAGTTGTAATCATGCAAGTTATTCATCCAGATGGGACCAAATGTCTTTTAGGCAGGCAGAAAAGATTTCCCCCAGGCATGTTTACTTGCCTTGCTGGATTTATTGAACCTGGTAAGCCTTTTCTTAATAATTTTAATAATAATCTTCCTTTAACTTATAATTTCCAAATAAAAATTTTAGACAGCATTTGACAAATTATCTTGCTATGAAACTGGGATATTTTTAAATATTTTCTGTGTATTTTAAGTGATGTAATATTTGTTTTTACTAGCAGAATAATTTTGTCTGTTTTAAAAATTCAGCATTTCCTCTTTCATGTATTGCTATTACCAAAGTATCTGCATGACTTACACCTCACTTTCTTCTTTACTAGACCCAACTGTGTCACCTTTTAGGGGTCTTCCCAGATAGCCCCAAATACATTAGTTAGCATCATACCCTGCATTCATAATTCTGTCATCCTGCCTGATTTTTCCCGATAGTGCTCATTACCACCTGACATGTATGTATGTATGAATGTATCTCTGTATTTATTATCTGATGGATGTATGTATGTATCTATTTACCTATCTACTCATTTATTATCTGCTCATACCAGAAAGTAAGTTGCATAGGGGTGGGACTTTATTTCACTCATCACTGTAGCCCACACCCTTAGAGCAGTGCCTTATATGTAGTAGGAGTTCAATAAATATCTGTGGAATAAGTGATAATATACATGTTTAATCTTAACTTCCAGTATTAATCTGCATTGATAATAGTAGTACTAAACATACTTTGTGCTACACTCTGTTTTGAAGGCTTTCCAGATATTCAATCATCTGACCCTCATACAGCCTTATAAAGTAGGTACTATTACAGCAGTTTTACAGCTAGAGCACTAAGGTTCAGGGGCTGACTCACTTGCCCAAGATCAAACAGCTAATCAGTGATAGGGCAGGGATACAAACCTGGGCAGTTTGGCTGAGTCCATGCTCTTAATCACTATGCTGTCTCTAATAACTCTAGGCCGTTTTTTTTAACTGCTATGTACCATTTTATTTATAAATACTCTTCAATTCATCCATTCTGTTGTTGGACAATTAGTTTATATCAGTTTTTGCATTTGCAAACAACACTGCAAAGAATATTCTTATACTACTCCTTGTGCACATTTGCAAGAGTTATCAAGGGTATATACTTGAGAGTCGAATTGTTAGCTCGTAGGATATGAGCATCCTAACCTTTTGTAGACATTGCCAAGTTGCTCTCTGAAGTGTCCCTACCAATTTACACTATTTCTAACAGCACATGAAATGTTTTATTGTTCCACATCTTCACCAAGTTAGGATTTTCATACTTTATAATTTGCCATTCCAATAGTTATGAAATAGTGTCATTGTAGTTTTCATTTTCATTTCCCTGCTGATGGAGCATCTTTTTCACATATGTTTTAGGCATCCAATTTTCATTTTCTCTGAATTTTACATGTTTATATTCTTTGCCTAATTTTGTTTTGGTTGTTTATCCTTTTTTCTCATTTTAGGAGTTTTGTAGAACGTATTATATGCTACTCTTCAGCTATGGTCTTGCAAATATCTTAACGCCAGTCTGTGACTTACCTTTCCACTATATTTTTTTGGTGAACATAAGTTGTTAATTTTAATATAGGAAATATAGCAATCTATTTGAAATAAAAAGCTGTATTTAAATAATAAAATATTTCTAAACTTTCAGGTAAATATACAAACCATTGCCTTTATTCTGATTCTCAATTCCAACAAATCAGAAATAAAAAGTACATTTCTAGGCACTATATTTTATCATACCTGAGTCAATAGTCATCTAGAAGAAAAAAATCATTTAGAAAGAAAAAATACTGTTTCATCTTAAGTGGTTTTTAAACTTTTAGTGTTTAGTTTTAACTTTTTTTGAGAAAAGTTATCTGCAATAATTGTTTGACAACATAGGAAAAAATTTCAAAATTTTAGTAAGGAGAAGGCTAGCCATTTATAAAAATCTTGGAATGATTTATAACTATTTAGTGATAATACATAAATGAGATAATACATAAAATGTTTGCATAGTGTTTAGCTAATAGCAGGTGCTGGATAGTTGTAGATGTTACCATTTTTACACTCTAATCAAAAAATTTGGACCTTCAAGAAAAGTTTTCCGGCATTTTGATTATGTCTATGGTCATATACTTTAAGAAATAATGTTTTTTTTTAATTCCAGTCTAGTTTTAGGCTTCTGCTTTCTCATTCTTTGAATTGGGTTTCTGTCCAAAGTGATTTCCAAATGTTTGAACCATTCGGAGCACAAAATGTCCAAGGCATGTTCATCAGCTACTTGTTCTTTTGCCCCATTTGATTAGGAGAGACAATAGAAGATGCTGTTCGGAGAGAAGTAGAAGAGGAAAGTGGAGTCAAAGTTGGCCATGTTCAGTATGTCTCTTGTCAGCCATGGCCAATGCCCTCCTCCTTAATGATTGGTTGCTTAGCTGTGGCAGTGTCTACAGAAATTAAAGTTGACAAGAATGAAATAGAGGATGCCCGCTGGTTCACTAGAGAACAGGTGAAGTTCAATTTAATTTCCTTCTTCTATTGATTGTTCTCTGACTGTATCAGTTTGGGCATGCAGCAAGGATACATGTTTTCACCAAGTTGAATGAATGCATATGGCCCACCCATCATGCATGGATTACAATGTAATTGATGTGTCCTATGTTAACTCATTCTGTGAGGTTCTTCTAGTTGATGATTCTGTGCCATTTTCTAATTTCAAATGCCATTCCTTCAGATTGATACTTTTCAATGGATTTAAAATAGGTAAACATTATTTCAAAGATGAGAGACAGGAAGATTTTTCTTAGACATTTTGTATTTTAGTTTACAGCACCAAAACAGGTAGCTCTCAAAAAATAGTAAAAATGCTTAAAATTTTTGAAACGTTCTTGTTCATTTTAAAATGTGCTTAAGGACAAGAATAACAAAACTATATAGCAAAGATACACTCACAAGAACTTTTTAAAATGTCATCCTTCAGTAGTATAATGAAAGATAAATTACTGTTTGTGTTTTGCTTAACCCAAAGTATTTGTATAGAAAACAAATGGATACACTATTAGTAGTGAAGACCTGAAATCCTTTCTGACTTTGCCTAAACAAAATTTTTTTATTTTATGCTCAACTTCAAAAAGTAGAAATTAAGTGTTTTTTAGAATTTTATAAAAGGGAACCTCTTGCAAAAGTTAACGTCACTTTGAAAATAAGTGTGGAGTGTGTACTTTTCTTTTTCATGTCCTTATTTTCATTAAGGGAATATGCCTTTCTGGAATTTTTTTTTTAATTGATTCACTAACTCATTGAATCAACTAAAAATACTGTACTAAATTTTGCATGTTGAACATGGATGTTGTCACTTTGTACTGTTATTCGCTGTAAAATCAACACATTTTAGTTAAATTGTAAAAGCATAGAAATAGTATTTAAGTATGACAGTGTTAAAATCCTAATACATTTTATTATGGTGTATTTTAGGTTGTGGATGTTCTGACCAAAGGGAAGCAGCAGGCATTCTTTGTGCCACCAAGCCGAGCTATTGCCCATCAGTTAATCAAACACTGGATTGGAATGAACCCCAATCTCTAAATCAAATAACTAGACTTTGAGTATTAATTGAATTCTAATAACTTATTCCTCAAGTGAGATTAGAAATATTTAGTGCTCTTTGGAATGTCACAACACAAAATATCATATTAGGTTTCAGAAATATTTTCAACATGTACTTTCCATCTTAACCATAGAACTTGTGTTTTTATAAATTACAAGACTGCCTCAGATTTTGTTAAAATCCAAGTCAGCCTCTCCAAATACTTTTTTGGTTGTGCTCCACAATTCTATCTCACAAAACCATATTTCTAATAAGAAAAATCATGTTGTAAAGACGTATATTCTAAAAATGTAAACAAACAAAACAATGTAAACAAACCTAAATTCCACTGCCTCTTTTAAGCATTAGACCAATCACTAAAGTTCTATTCTTGAGAAACCAGGCAGAATAATTTTAATTACTTTTAAGCTTCATTTCCAGTCTTTTCATGACCATAAAGGTTCTTTCAGGCATCAGTAGCTGATTTTTGCTCACTTCGCATTGTATTCCACTTTTTTCTCCTGGTTTCATTGTTCTAGCAGTGGTGCTGTTATAGTCCTGCCACTCGTCTGTTTTGATCAGTGTTAAGAATTTTCTACTTTAACAACTTTGCTGATGATCAGAATACCATGACTTCATGAAAGGAGAGTTTAAATGAGAGCATACCACTATGAATGGGACCTCCTCCTTAAACCTAAAATCAATTAATACGTATAATTATCTGTTACACTCAGAAGTTGTTCTTAAGAAAAATCAAAACTCTGCTTTTTCACTGAAATTAAAGGTATTTGAAAGGAATTCTCCTCAAAGATCAGATGTTAAATATTTCCCAGATAGATTTACATATTCAGTAAAAACACTGGCTTTATGTCATTTTGTGATAAGGGATTTATCTGCATTTGCAAAAAGTTATGTAATCATTACTAATTATATTTATTAAACTCAAATGCAGTATTTTGATTTTGGCCTTATTTTAACACATCCTAAGAAGTCTTTATAAAATAAGTATATCTTAGAACTGAATCAGTAAGATTCAGAGAAAAGTAAATTGTAGTAATTCACAGTTTTACAATATAGAACTGTCGTATTTTATAAGGCTGTTTTGAAATTGTTTTAAAAGTCTGTAAATGTATAAATTTATATAATTTGGCTCTTTATTATTTTATGTTAGAACTGGAAGAGACCTTAAGGATAATATATGTAGTTTAGTGACCTTCTCTTATAGATAAGGAAAAAGAAATCCTGAGAGGTGAATTTAATTAATCCATTAAAGTTGAGTCAATTAATTAATCGATGAAAGTTACACAATTACAACTTACCAGTTCATAAAATTAGTTGTAATTATAGTTAAAAACTTAATTTTAACAATATAGCCTAGTGCAGGACTCTCCCTCTAATAGGAAGTAGAAACTACTACTAAAAATATAGGTAGAATAAATTAAAGTAGCGATGATAAGAATAAATTTAATTTACCAATACTGTTAATTAAAATTTTAGATACTAAAATCTAACTTAAATATGATAATCCTCTTAGATAAAACTTTATTTTACTAATAAACAGTGATTTTCTTAGTAACTGGTGAAAGCTTATTGGTATCAGGTCTTTAGACAAAATTGACTTACATTGGACATTTAGATACATAATAAAATTTTAACTACATAAGTACATAGAAAATTATGTGCCTTGATTATTATGAAGTATGATGACTTGAGGTTCAGTTTTACTCCAAATTTACTTAGAGATTCTAAGATTACATCATAAAGTTCCAGGTTTCCATTTTCAGATAACAAAGTGAAATATAAAATATCAACAAAATGTAGTTATAAATTTAGTTTTGGATATTTAATCCTATTCTCAGGAAAATCAGTAAGTAAATTATTGTTGTTAATAATCATTCTTAACATTGCTAACCTCTGAGAGGTGAATAGCTACATGTAAATAGAAGGAATAGCAAAGAAATTTTAGAGGTCAAGTGCCATGAATGTATTCTAATGGAAGTGAAGGTAACAATATATTAAAATATCTATTTTCTGTTTTGTGTGTTACGTATTTTTTAATATGTTTTGATAAATGTTTCTGAAAAATGAAAAAAGCCAAATTTCAGTCATCCTCCCCTGTATAATGATGTGTAAACAAAAAGTACAAAAGCCCTTTTAAAAGTAGTAATATCTGGAAGACTTAAATCTTTAAGCTATACATATATATATATATATACACACATACAAACTTACATATATACATACATACATATATATACAGTCAATTTTTCATCATCAGATTTGAAGTTATATGTCTACTTTCTATTTTTATTACTTGTTTCAAAATACTGGTCTTTGCATTTTGAATTTTTCACTGTTTATTGTTCATGGAAGGGCTAAAAGAATTAGCACCATATTTCATTTAGTTGGAAAAATTATGAAGTAACTCTTTCAAAGATCATGTTAGAGATTTGGGTGAGGACAAAAGAATGGAAAAACAAAGGGTGAGACCATGAGGTGGAAGGAGAGAGTATGTTTGTTAATAAGCCAAATAAACTTGATTAAATCTCATATAACAGTAGACAGCTGGTTCTAGAACTGTGTTGCTAATGTATATATAGCAAAATAGTAGGTGTACATGTTCTATAAAACAAATACATTAATTATTTAGAATAAAATTTCCACAACACAAATTTTATTAAAGATGAGAGCCAACTATTAGGTTCTGAATATATACATACATACATACATACATATATGTGTGTGTGTGTGTGTGTGTATATATATATATTTTCAAGCAAGGTAGGAGTAATGGGTGTTGAAATTTATGTATGTTCTGTGCTTAAAAGGTCCAGTTTTCTCTAGTAGAAAAATACCTAGGACAAAGTAATCCAAAGTACAAAATTAAGAGTATCTGTCTATAAATGTAAAAGAGCTAGGTCTTGGGGCAAAACCAGAAGTCCTTGCAAATGGGTTGAAAAAGAGGGCAAGAGAGTTTGACTTCAATGCAGGTGGAGGGCTCTCAATAAGGGGTTCAAATGCTAGGGAGCTTTGACATAGGGACAGATGAGAGACACAAGAGGGTGTATTCAAGGAGAGAGGGATAATGTCGCCAGAGCCTGCATCTTCATAACGTTTTACCACTCAGAAGAGAAATGGAAAGGAGTTTCTTTGTGAAAATAAACTTAATGCTGAAAATGATTTTTCCCCCTATTCTACGCCTTGTCCTTTTTCTTCCCAGGACACTCAGGTGGAAATCAGAACAGCTTCTGTAAGAGCAAGCACAGTTTATTATCATCTACAATAGGTTTTCAAATGGTTCGTTTTATTTGCCCAAAGTAGAAGGGTCAAAAGGAAAGTTATTCAAGTAATAAAGATGGCATATGAAAAATGGGTAATCAGAAGCCTGAGTTACTTTATTGTTTAGGAGACATTTTTTCAACTATAAAACAAACATTTGGACATGTTAATTGGGTTAACAGGCAAATTCTTCATTCTATTTTTACTGAAGGATATCTACATATAATTGTACTTATTGGTGGAAATAGCACTTTCAACTTTTCTTTATACCTTCAAGAATACTGTTTCTCTTTTATTGCTCAGCACACAACGCCATAGCATTGGACAATGGATATTTCTCCTTTTCACAATTCCCATTGTAATGATGCTGTACAGAATAGTGGGGGCAGCTGTAAAATTTTAAAACCGATTTTAAGTTTAAAAAGAAGACTTTCTGCTAATGGAAACTTTTTTCTCACTAGAAGTCTGATAAGGGACAGACAAAATATAGCATAAGGAGCAAAAAAAATATCCTGGCTTTCCAGTCCTTGGCTCATGGAAACTATACCAGACCAACTCTTTGTCTCACCCTGATGGATTAAGAACATTCTAACCACTTAACTTGTGAGGTGGTTTCATTTTTAGTGATGTGAAAGTTCCACCCAGAAGTAGAAATTGAAAACAGTACTTGTATTATTTTAGAACAACCAGCATAAATGGACAAGTGATGTCTGAAGTTTGTTTATTTTTTTTTATCCTGTCCATTTTACTCTACCCTGAAATTGTAGTCTATTGGAGCAGTGTGATGTTTTGAACACCTCAGTAGAGTACCTTATAAATATTTATACTGCTTTCAGGTAGCAGTGAGCTGAAGTCATCTCTATCAGTGGGGCTAGAAACAATTTAAAATGCCATTTATCCAGTGGCTTTGCTGCTAAGGTTTATTTTGCTTTTTTGCTGGATTTACTTGTGTTTATGAAACAAGTTTGAGTACTCTAATGCCAGTTTGGAGGATTTGGAACTCCAAATAAGAAGCCCTAATGACATGTACACATTCAAACCTCAGGGGCTGCCTTGGTCCTGACCATCATCTTGCTCTGCATTGTAGTGAAGTCTTCACTGGGAATGTAGTGAAGTTTAGAACTCTGTGTGTTCTGGGAGACACTGTCAAGGATGAAAAGGAAATATGCATGTATCAGTGTGGACCTCAACGTTTTCATGGCTGTACAGGTGTCTAATAATTATTATTTCAGAAAAATACTCTTATTTTACACATAATACTAGGTTTGTCATATTGCTCTTTTTCTTTAGTTCCCAGCCATTTCATACATGCTCATGAATAATAAATGTTTTTCATTTTATTATGATGATAAATCATAATATTCTATATGATAATAAATCCTAGTATTCCTTAATGATTTATCATCATTCTGTTAAGATGATCATATAAAATACGTTGTTTTATTTTACACCATGAAGAGGGTAGGAATATTCTCCTTGTTCAGTATCTCTAACATTAACACTGATAAGTTGTAGGTTTAATTCAAATCCAGATTTCTGAACTTTGTAAAAATTATTTGTTGCCTTTTCTCTCCCAACGTATTTCTCAGAACTACTTATGGATCCCTATTTACAACAAACTCCTAAGAAAATGTAACTCTTTGGTTAGGTTATTCTCATAATACTATTTACATAGGACTTTATATATAAAATGTTGACAATTATTATTTCTTTTTATCCTTACCCCTATGAAATGAATGTCAATATCATTATCCCCATTTTACAGCTGGCTAAGAAGGGGTTAACTTTATCAAAGTCACATTGTGAATAAATAGGAGAGCCAAAATTTGAACCCAAGTATTTCACTTCAAATCCTTTCATCTTTCCACTTACCAGAGCTACCTTACAGAATTTTCTTAATAATGCTGCATTGAGAACTTACAATCTCAAATTTCTCTCTCAGTTCCTTAAATTTTGGTCATTTTTCAGGTTGGACCTTATATTCTTGTTACTCTGGACATTTCTGTAAGACCTTCACTATTTGCTTAATTAATCAGATTTCTATCTCCTGCTATCAGACATTCCTACTGGGACATCTCACTGCCTCCCAAATACTACCTGTGTACAATTAAATTATCTTTTATCCCAAGTACATTCCTGCTTCTAGTCACCTATTTTAATAATCTTGCAATTTCTAATATGGAACTTTTGGGTATTATTCTTATTGTCTACTTTATTCCTTATCCTACCCCACCCTGCAGCCAAGCAATCTCCAAATCCTATTGCTTTTAGTTCTTTCATACTTCGTCTCAGCATCTTCTTCTCTTTCCTTCTCTCTACTTCTTAATATTTATTGAATCTTAATACTTCTTGTCTCTCTGTCCATTGCCACCATCTGAACTCAGGCTATTAGTCTGGTTTCTACATTAGGTTCTTAAATTGGTCTCCTGACTTCAGGTTTCACTCCCAATTCATTCTTCACAATGCAGCCAAAGAGATCTTGCTAAATTCTTCAAAAAGACTCCCCTTTGGACAAAAGATCAAGTCCAATGTCCTTAGTATAGCAATTTACCTCTGCAGTTTCAACTCTGATCACTTCCCTTGTTCCAGCCTCATATATATCACAATTTATGTGTTTGCAAAAAGCCACAGAACTTTTTAAATTTTTATTAGGCATTAATAAGAATCACCTAAATAATTATGAGCAATATCACTACTTTAATAGAAATGTCTCATTTAAAGATTCTAAACTCTATCTCTAAATTAATTTCATCTACATCTTTCATAGGATTTCAAAAATTCTAAATCATGGTCTATATTATTAATCCCAGTTTTACAAATGAGCACATTGAGTCTAAGAAAATTCAAATGAGGGCGCCTGGGTGGCTCAGTCCTTAAGGATCTGCCTTCGGCTCAGGTCATGATCCCAGGGTCCTGGGATCAAGTCCCACATCGGGCTCCTGCTCGGTGGGAAGCCTGCTTCTCCCTCTCCCACTCCCCCTGCTTGTGTTCCCTCTCTCGCTGTGTCTCTGTCAAATAAATAAAATCTTCATTAAAAAAAAAGTCAAATGACCCTCAAAATCAACGTAGGATATGGAAATGTGATTCAAATTTAAATCTTCCTAATCAAAATCTACAACCTCTGCCACACCATACACCCCATACCATACACCAGACTGTTTCTGCCCCTGTATCTGTCTCACAAAGATAAATGTGTTACCTTATAATTAACCCCACCAGTGTCAAGAGCCAAACTAGATCATTTATTCCTTTTTATTGGGGGGGGTGGTTCTTCCACTCCATTTACACCACATGAACATCATAGCCATGTTTTGAAGTACCCCTATCCAAACTCCTAGGCAACAAAAGCACACAGTATATCATTGTTCACTAAAGATATATTTGAAAACCAACAGACTGTTAGGAATGGTTAAGACAGATAATAATAGACTGATTAAAGGATGGTAGATCATTCCTGACACTGCATAAGATTAAGTATGCTAATCAGATTTTGGATTTAGACAACCCAGATAAATCCCAAGTAGAACAAAAGGAAGTATTCAAATCTTACTTCCTTTTCTTGTTTTTCAAAATACATCTTTGTGTTTTATCTATGTCTCCTTCAGAGCTGAGGAATTATGAAGGCTTTACCCAGGTGAGTTGATTATATGTTCTTTTTACTTTCTCCTTTTTTTTTCTTTTGCTGTTTTGAATGAAGTATCCTCTATTTTAATCCTTGCTGTCCTAGATTAGTTGCTTAGCAAAGGATGATAGCAAAGGGGAAATTA